AGAGAACAGAAAGGCATGAGTATAAAAATAGACACAATATGTATTATTCAATGGTACTCACACACACACACACACACACACACACACACACACACACACACACACACATATATATATATATATATATATATATATATATATATATATATATATATTCGTCCTGTGTATGACGATTAACTACATCCGCGTCTAGGGTAAGACGATAAACTACGTCCGACAGCAAGGCCTATGACCAGGAAATTTTGAGGAGCGTGGAACTTAATTGCTGTTGTTCCCAGGTCCACCCTGTCCCAGGGTGGTAGCACCTGTTAGGGTCCCAGCTATGGGCAAATAGTTAAACTCTAAACTGGGGGCAACAATCTATGAAACTTTAAAAATAAGTTTTTGTAAAAAATTACCAGCAATACATTATAAAAAAATAATATATTACCAGCTATACATTTTAAAAAAAAATAATATATTACCAGCTGAAAAAAATATTAGCAACAATAGATTTTTGAACAAAAAATATTAACTGCAATATTTTTTTTTTTTAAATATTACCAGCAATAATTTTGTTTGGCATTAAATAACCCAGTGAGATTGATATGCCGTAAACGCAACAAAAAAAATATATATATATATATATATATATATATATATATATATATATATATATATATATATATAAGATACAAAATATTTAAAACACCGATATTTATGCTACCATGCTTTCTACCAGAATGGTTTTATTGGGCCCGGTAGAAACCATTCTGGTAGAAAGCATGGTAGCATAAATACCGGTGTTTTAAATATTTTATATATCAAATTCCTGTACATTGTCTTTTTTTTTAAAAAAAAAGAATTGTATTGAATTTAGAAAGTATCTTCTTCTATATGTCGTGTTTCTTTAGGACTTGGATGATCATGGCTCTCCACATCTTCGTTTTGTAATTCTTAAAGTTTTGATCTCCTTCCTAATCCTTGTTCTACCATCCGTTTGCATAATCCAGTCAGATACGTCAATAACTATTTTTTCCCTTTCCTTTAAAATGCCCTGCGAGTCTCCAATTTTCCAAGCCTGCTTTTCTCAATATGTGTCTAAGAAATTGTCACTTTCTAATTCTAAATATATGTGTCCTTTTTGTTTCCATTTTCCTTAAAACTTCGTTTTTTCTCACATGTTCTGTCGATGGTATTCTCAGCATCCTTCTGCAGGAACACATTTCTGTTTCCTCAAGTCTCTTCTTCTTCTGTGAGGAGATTGTGCGGCATTCACTAACATATAGGCGGACCTATATTACATAACAATTCAACACTGTTTTCTTTGTTTTTAATGATATTTTCCTGTTTCTTAATATTTTACTTAGCTTCCGGGAAGCATCTTTTCCTATTCCAATGCTCCTTCGGATTTCGGAGTCAACTTTTTCGTTCTCTGTTGAAACATCTCCTAGATATTAGAACAGCAAAATACCAATGCTGTCACCTGAAGTGGCTGACATTAAAGCGAGCAAATTGTCTTTAAAAATCAATGTCAGCTTTATAAAAAAAGGTAAACATTTGATAAGGCCGAGCAAACAGTGGAGAGGTGATGAATGGATCGGGAAAGACGCGCAGGCTGACGTGTTATGAGTGAAAATACAATATCCCGAAGATTGGCGACAGAAGATTACATATTGTGACAAGATGTTTGTCCATCAGGTAATTCATAAATCACTTTATCGATAACTTGAAGCTGTTGTCGTTTAACCCGTTTGGTTGGTTTACCGATACAGAGCTCCGGCGTCAAATCACCGGAGTCTTCCAAAATTATATATATATATATATATATATATATATATATATGAAGAAAATATCTGGAAAAACAAAACAAAAATCCTTAAAATGCGATTATGTTGTTTTAATATGAATGAACAACATATTTTTAAGGATTTTGTTTTGTTTTTCCAGATATTTTCTTCATTCTGTCGGATTTATATTCATTTATATTTGCTTATCATATATATATATATATATATATATATATATATATATATATATATATATATATATATATATATATATATATATAAACAATACGCGAGATTTGGTTGACTCATTCTGTCGAGTAAAGATAAGTCAGTAGTAGGGACTCTGACTGACATGAAATCGGTTGGATTTCAATCCGGTCTTGAGGCATTCCGTTGTCTAGTCGCACTGAAGAGCTGTGATACAGCGAAATAGTACTGTCTGCGAATGACATATATATATATATATATATATATATATATATATATATATATATATATATATGTGTGTGTGTGTGTGTGTGTGTAACAGCAAAATTGTCCAAATTGTGTAACTGCATGGGATAATTGTCCATCTCACAAAATGTTTAATATCTAAAAAAACCACTAAACTAATTGAGTTTCTTGTTTAGCCACCTTGACATCATTTGTCGTAAGAATCACTAAAAACCGTTTGTGTTGTGTTATTCAGGTTAAAATTATTTTGTTCCAGCCCGACTATTTCTCCTCATTTGAGCAATGGTGAGAAGAAAAAGCATAGCACGGGTTGATCAAGGCGTTGAGATTGAAACTGGATAGAGGGTGTTTAATAATAGTTTAGCCGAAATGTATCTCTGCTCCGACATCCTGAGATTGACCATCGGGTCAGATGCAAGCCATAATATGAGAAGTCGATTTTGATTGGCTGAGCTAGCGTGGGAAAGGAGATAGAAGAAAGGGTTCAGGGAGTGGAGCTTAACCCTCAAGCAATGTAGACGTGTTCTCATTCGTGTCTGAAACGGCTCCCCCATATATATATATATATATATATATATATATATATATATATATATATATATATATATATAAGGATAAAGTATTTTTTATTGATATTAGAGATGTAAACTCTCATATGACATCAACGACGTTGTTTTTTGAATTCGAAGGATTCTTTTTTAGGTTCACAGTGACAATAATTAGGTTAGATATTTGAAACTTTTTTATAGATTGATGAAAATGTAGAACATTTTATATAATGCGTTTCACCCTTTAAGAAGGACTTCATCAGATTATAATAATATTTTTAATATCGTTTATAATTCTGCACCGAGAGGAAACGCAGTCTAGATGAAAACTTTCAGGCGATTTTATTTATTTTCCCAAAGTTTTTGTTTGGAATCTAAACTACAGTACACAATGCAAGGAAAGAGCCAGAATTCTAGAAATAAGTAAAGCACATTTAATAAAATATCTTTCACCACAGGAGACGGTATCCTGAATTGCGTCTAAAATATTTAATATGCATGAAACAAGGAAAAGCATGATATTTGTGGTATTCTTTTAGTGCCGTCTCGCTACCTTTAAACGGTACACATGACGTCACTTTGGACTGATTTAAGCTTAATGTTTTTATTGATTTAATTATGTATAATCAGGGATAGGTTGGAAGATATAAGCGAAAATGTCGCTTATAATTCTGTTCAGAGAGGAAATGTTAAACACGCAGGGACACTAATTTTTTTTTTCTAATGATAATCTTGAATTTTATTTCTGTTTCTAACACAAAAAAAAAATATCTGCCTCCATTTTTGAGATGACGTATTGTAACTATTTACGCCATTTAGATTGTCCGGATTCTTGTCCTCGTCCTGGTTGTCTTATTCGCGACGTTTCGGCCGCTGTACGCTCCGACTTTCTTCAAGTGATTAAATGACGTCACTCAAGGTGATTTTTTATTTTGCGTATTTTAAATTTCTTTTTATTCATACTTCAAAATACTCTAAAAACAGTTACATAAGAAGGTCATGCCCCTTTATCGTAGGTTAAGTAGATTAAGTTAAGCAACATCGGGCCTGGTCAGTACATAGATAGGTGACCGCTTTGTAATAAAAAGCACTGTAAATTTGGATATATGAGTGGTGTTGGAAATCGGAGAACCGAGTTCCAATTCCAGTCGGGTTCGTTATATTAATTTACGTGTAAATACCCTTAGGAAAGGTATAAAAACATGTATTCTCTCCAGCCATTGGTTAATTAGTAGAAGGTATTAGTATATCTTGATCATCTCCAAAACATTCAAAGTTTTTTTTAATTCATCGTGTTCATATTTTTTTATAATGATGTCCACCCTGTACAAGGTTCGAGAGCCACACGTGATAGAGGCATTACTCCAAGCAATTTGATAATACTATCAACATATAAGAGGCTACCTAAAGAGAAAGAAAAGGAAAACCCAATCTTAAACACAATCGCTTTAATAATATTTTCTGGCTTTATATAAGCTGCAAAATCTTGATAAGCTGTAAAAAAACAACAAAGAAATCAATCAATTACTGTATTAATATTGCTTTCATTATGTCTTGTGAGTGTTAAATTCTCTAGGCCTCTAATCTTCCATAAATATGTCACTTTCTGATTTTGTCTATATTTCTGAGATGAGGTATAATGTACACTATTTACATTATTCGGACTATCGTCAGTGGATAACTTGGAGAGGTCAATTAACAGGAGATAACTGACATCCATTAGACATGGCACGTTGAACTAGAACAGTCTACCCTAGCGAGCGAAATAAAGGGTTCAGTTCGAGATTTCAACTACCTGAAGAAGACCGGAGCGTACAACGGCCGAAACGTTGTGATAAATATGGCAACAAAGATGAGGACAATAGTCCAAATAATGTAAATAGTGCACTTTCTGATTGTAAGTATCAGTTTTCTTGTAGCTCATATTTTTCAAGACTTCTTTGCTGTTCACGTGTTCCATGGTATTCACAGCGCCTTTCTGTGGAACCACATCTTTGTCGCTTCAGCTCTCCTCTTCATATGTGAGGAAATTGTCCCGCATTCACTGCCATATAGAATGGTTGGTTGATTTATTTTACGAATGTCCACTCTTGTTAGGTTATTTAATGTCGAATATTGTACGGGGTGTACGGGTAGCGTAGCGGTTTTCGGCGCTTACGGTGAACCATAGATCCAAGTTCAAATTCTAGCGTTCCGCGTCGTTATTCATTACACCACCCATACATCAAAGCTTACAGCACCTGGTATACACAACAAGTCACCCTTCTACGTACCGACCAGGCTGGACGTTGCTTAACTTCGGTGATTGTACGGGAACCGATGTTTCAACGTGATATGACCGTAAGCCGATACTGGAGGGTGGGGTGCAGTGAATAATCTACTTAACGTGTTTGAGTTAATGTATGGCGGAGAAAGAAAGAAAAATGAATTTTAAAGATACAGAATTATTTAGAGTAAAGAAAGTTGTGGAGAGCCACAATCCCTCGCGTTCTGAAAGGACACGGCATGTAAAAGAAGAATCATTCGAAGTTTCAATTATTCCTCGGATTTCAGTTTCTTCCAAACTTTTTGCAAGGTCCTTAGCGACTGTTCCGGATGCGCAAGTAATGATAGGCACTACTGTCATTTTCATGCTACACTGTTAGAATATTTTTTTATACATTCAACGTGTGAAAGCACGTGCGATACCCTGCCCTCGTCAGTCGCCAACCAGGGGAGGTAACACAGTCGGTAGCTAAGGCGGTACTGCCACCCCTGGTGCCACCAGGAGCTTTAGCCATCTGGCAGGGTTAATGTATAACGATTGAATTTCAAAATCCCATAGGATTTTTCAAAATTTTCTGTTGGAAAAGTGTATATCTTCATTTCCAATATGGATTAAATACGCAGATCAGGCTAACATAAAAGGACAACATAAAATTCAAAACCGCCTGGTTAACTGTTACCCACACAATTTGGTTAGTTGATTGAGCAATATTTTTTTAATTAATGTTCACCCAATACGAGGCACAAGAGCCACTCAAGGTAGAAAGTTACTGTGTGTAATTGTATGAGAGTAAGAAAGGGTAAGATATGAAGTTCATGGGGCTATTCAGGAAAAATAACGGCTGACCTTGAAAAGAAGAGACAAAGATTGACATTCAAATTGAAGGAAATTTTATTCACTAATTAAGAGTTCAGGCAGACACATTAGAAATATAGAGCTGAAGTAGACTTTAGCAGGAAGCGGAAACCGAATCCTAAACAGGAAACAAGGGAGAAACTTCTACTCCTGTTCAAAAGACCTGGATGGAGTGTGAACCAACTCTCATTGGTTTAATTAATCACGCATTTTGTATAGGGCATCTGGTGAAGATCGAACTCACTACTCAGTAATAAAGGCTAACTAGACTAACCTCACTAAGCATTATCCCACACCAAAGCGTACCTGTTCAAATGAGAGCTAAAATGTTAAGAGGAACGCAAAAATAGTACTTCCAATTTATCTCCAATCTAGAATCTATAGTGTTATATGACCATACGTATTATTAGTGTTATTATTATTATTATTATTATTATTATTAATAATAATAATAATAATAATAATATGTCGTAAAAATATTTTTCTAGCCTTTCTCGATTATGTTCAGAGGATCTAGCTGTCGGCGTCGTGGTCGGTCTGATCAAGGCTTAGTCGGTATCCGGCCAGTGTCGACGATAAGTTTCTGAGTGTACAGCCGGTATCACCCACCCGAACCCCAGCTTACAAGTCAATAATCAAGCCAATACCAGTGTGGTAGATTTTCCACCTGTGGTCTCGCCGCTTGAGGAGCACACCTGCATGCCCTGAGATTTCCTGGTGACAGAGCGAAGAGAAAAGACATCGATGTCACTAACACCGGATGCACATATTTCGACCCGATAGTTGGCGCTCTCTTGCACGATGTCCTTGTCTCTTTTCTCTTTCCTTCTCATTGTATTTTTGGTTCTCTTTATCTCTCTGTTGATCTTTAAACCTTTCTTTCTTTGCGACAGAATGAATATCTGTCTATCTATCTATCTATCTATCTATCTATCTATCTATCTATCTATCTATCTAAACGACAGATTGAGAGAAAGATGATGTGATAGAGAGAAAGGCTTGTTATTTTTCTCTTTCAGCGTTTACATATGTATATTTTTAATTAAAAAAGAATATAGACTTAGACACACACACACACACATATATATATATATATATATATATATATATATATATATATAACTGTGTGTGTGTGTGTGTGTGTGATGAGCTATATATGTATATATATATATGTGTGTGTACATGCATACATATATAAGAAAGCTCGATATATCGGTATGTGTGTATGTGTCTGGGTATGTGTGTGTAACTTGCTTTTAATGGTGGAAAAATCCGTAGTTCCATTCAACGGATAGAAAATAAACACACACACACACACACACAGACACACACACACATATATATATATATATATATATATATATATATAGAGAGAGAGAGAGAGAGACAGAGAGAGAGAGAGAGAGAGGGAGGAAGAGAGCAAGAGGTGAAATGCGAGTAGCGAAAAGGAGAGAGGAGGAGAAAAGAAGAGAGGAGAATGAGAAAGAGACAAGAGGACAAGTGAAATGCATACGAAAGCAAAGAAATAATAAAGAAAAAAGTGAAGGGAAGAAGAAGAAGAAGAAGAAGAAGAAGAAAGAGGAAAGGAATATGATAAGTGAAAGGAAGAAGAAAAAAGAAAGAAAGAAAGAAAGAAAGAAAGAAAGAAAGAAAGAAAAAAGAAAGAAAGAGAGGAGAAGGAGAAAAGAGTGAGGTAAGGAAATGGCAAGAAGAAGTGCAGAAAAAATAGAAATGGATAAGTAAAGAAGAAGAAGAAGAAGAAGAAGAAGAAGAAGATAAAGAAGAAGTAGAAGAAGAAGAAAAAGAAGAAAAAGAAGAAGGAGAAGAGGAGGAGGAAAAGGAAGAGGAGGTGAATAAAAAAGAGAAGATAGAAGGAAGAAGATAAAAATGTTAAAAAAAGAAGGTTTAGGTAAATAACATATAAATATTTTAGTTGACACAAGGTTTATGAATTTCAGGAGTAGATAATCGTATACTATGAAAATGTTTTATTTATTATATTTGGCTTGTTTTTTTTTTTTCCCCATAAGGACTATAAATAAATAAAATACCTATTTGAAAGACGTTAAACAAAGCAAGAATAATCGAGTCGTGTCGGCAGGAAAGATGGGGGAAGCTTGAAAAATGAAACGTTAACAAGAGGAAATGAAGAAAACAGACGGTACAATTATTGATATACTGAAATGCATAAAGATGGATATGGAAGAATAATTTATACAACGCAGCTGGCTAAAAACTGTCCCTGAGAATGTAGGTAATAAAAATAATATATATATAACGAAAAACGAAATTTAAGAACACTGGAACATCTAAAACTTAAGAATGACTACATTGTTACCTGCTACGATTAGTTCAGTAAGATTATATTTTGTAAGTTTCTTTTCTGTGTATTTCAAATTTATTTCTACGATCTAAAAGAACAGATAAGAGCTCACTGCTCTGTTATGAATTACATTTAATACTGTAAATTTAAATTCATGAGAGGAAAAAATATTGGCGTCTAGTATTTATATGAATAACTACGGTAGACCGTCAGACTGAAATGTCATCCGACATTTATTTGCCGTAAGTCGGCCCGTATTTTATCATTTTATTGAAAATATTTATCTTATAAATATTTAGTGCTGTATTCTCAATCTGTTCGAATATGTATACTCCGATCTTTTGTGAATATCTATGCATGTAACACAACTGTATATGGGTGCGCCTCAAAAACTCTAGATGACCAAAGTTTGGCAGCTGATTGCTCCTCCGACCGAGCTCGAACAGATCACTGGAAACTAAACTAGTTTCATGTCATCATCGCCGATTGAATCCGGAACTATCACCAATCACAGATGTTTCCTCACGGAGTCCCCCCCTGCCTTGGGCGCCTATTGGGGCTTAAACTCAACCCAGACCTCAAGTGGAACTCATACATACGATTCATCACTAAAGATGCTGGAAAAATGGTCGGTTTTCTGTACCGCTCCAGTAAGTATCTGACTCCTTCTGCTATCTACTATCTTTATAAGAGTCATATCACAAATAGAGTACTGTTGCCATATATGGGCAAGAGCTGCAGAATCTTTACTTTCCAGTCTCGATTGTGTTCAAAAGCGTCTCCGCGTCCCTGAGGGTGACAAATTTTCCACCCTACAACCTCTTTCCTCATAGACGAAACGTCGTAAGCCTCGCACTGCTTTATCGCTATTTCCATGGTGAATGTTCAGACGAACTACAGTCCTTAATTCCACCAGTTCTAACCTTCAAGGCCAAGACCCGCCATACCACGAACCTTGTAGCGAACCAACTTTGTAATCGCCTTTGTAATTCCATTGGTGAAATGTAAATTCTACTCGAGCAGCTTCTTTGCATGAACCCGAATTGGAGATATTGTAGTTTAAAAACAGTAAAATCGACCTGGCTAACCGAAACGCTCCTCTGTGGCCAAATCGGTTAAAGGCACGTCAGGCTATATGACGGTTCCGTATAGGATACAGGTTCGATTCCTGTCAGAGGACGCATATTTTCTATAATAATTTCTCGGACATTCAGGCCGGTAAATGCTGTTAATGCTGTTTATTATAAAACGAGCATTTACTTAAATATTTGTATCTATAAAAAGAATGTATAAACATAAAAATGTCTTTAAAAAATAATTGTCGGACTTTGTCCATTTCATAATATATATATATATATATATATATATATATAAAGAAAATTCCCCAGTTTCATATTTTAATTTTCTGATGAATTGTAATTCTTAAGTTTATGTCCAGTCATTGACTTAAGATTTATAATTCATTTTGGTGATTTGCGAGTCGTACGACTATAAAATACCCGTGGAATTTCCCTTGTTGTATCTTTAAATATTTGGGTTTATTAACTTTAACAAGATATTACAATAACAATTATAATTATGCAGGTCATTATTTAAAGAAGTAAGTGTGTTAAGAACATAACAGGGTTATCGTCTCTTTCTTTCTTTTTCTTTCTTGTTTTGAAACCAAACAGCGTCTCTGATATGTCTTTTCCGTCTTTCCTTGCGATCAAAACGGAATATATAGTCCATTATTTATGAGGTATTGGCTGGGCGTAACGTACCTGCTAAATAAAGAACACCTTCGGTTCACAATAGGATAATAATAATAATAATAATAATAATAATAATAATAATAATAATCAGATTTATTATAGAATGATTAGAACCTGTAACAATTTTATGGGACTAAGCAATACACACAGGCAAAGCAATCATCTTGATATCGTTATTTTTTTTTTTTAAAGTGCTCAGCGGAAAATGACATAATGTTATTTCTAACCTTAGGTCTTTGAGCGGGACCCGGAAAGAAATGAGTACACATCAGAAATCAAAAGAAATAATAATAATAATAATAATAATAATAATAATAATAATAATAATAAGGGCTTTATCTATATAAAAATATATGTGATTGTTTTTTTTTTCAAAACTCCTCAGATGAAAATGTCATTTTTGACCTAATGTTTCTTGTCAAGACTCGGAAAGAAATGAATATACATCAGAAATCAAAGGATATAATAATAATAATAATAATAATAATAATAATATTGATAATAATATTAATAATAATAACATTGATAATATAATATTAATAATAATAACAGGATATTGGATGAAATTTTATTTCCAAGGAAAGACAGAAAATCCAGTTAGTGTTGAAATATTTTTTCTTTCGAACAGATATTTTCTGTAAAGTGACAGCAAGCCTTTCTTCACCGTGAACATATTGATGAGCATGCGTATTGACCTAAACATTACTTTTGCTTCTTTTACTAAAAATGCTTGCAAAATATTGCTTGAGAAATACGAGGTTGATCAAAAAGTATCAGGACTATTGGTATAAGCAGAGACCAAGTATACTTTGAATATTATTGTCAGGCCTGACGATTGCATTTAAGCTGGGTGTTAACTTCAATGTTCACTTTTAAATTTACATAGGTTCTATCCCTGATAGTGATCAATTTAACACGTAAATATAGCATACATTAAAACTATATTTTTATATTTATATCATATATATATATATATATATATATTTATATATATATATATATATATACTAAATTATGTACCTACACTTTGTCGCTGAAAAAACAGCATTGCTTGATAAAAAAGGATCCAAACTTAATGAAAACAACTTTTTATCGTCAAAATGTTTATGTTATTATTAAGAGGAAAGATCAAAGTATTTTTGGTTATTGTATAAAATTTTTTAATCATTTCTAGCACGGTCTAAATTTTGGTCAAAAATCTTGTTTTTGCGTCAGCGTTCAACGTAATATTTACAATTAGTGTTTTTGCGCCTTTTTTTTCAGGTAAAAATACATTGATTTAGAAATTCTTGCAAAAATCAAATCATTTTCGGATTTTAATGAAACTTTCAGGACTTATTCACAAATGAAATTAAATTATTTTTGAAATTTTTTTTTAGAAAATCTTCGTAACAAAATTTTTTTTATTTTTACACATGTTACCACTCCATTTACTTAATTTCATGAAATTTCGAAAAATTAAATTTTAATTAGTTAAAAGAAGGACTCCTTGGAGAATGTAAATCATCAATTGTTTTCTTTTTTTTCAAACAACTACAGATTTCCCGAAAATCTGCTCCGAATCGTAAAAACAATGCAATAAAACAATGAGATTATTTAATTAGAAAAGTTTTTAATTACTTTTATAAATAAGATTTATTAAGGAGACTATTGTCTTAAGTACATTTTTTTTCGATGAATAATGAATAATTTATTTTTACAAGAATTGTTTTCATTTTAAAATTTTTTAATTATAATAATTAAAATGGTTTAGAATTCTACATTACTTTAATTTGGTTAAGTGATATTGTAATTAAGCGAAAACTATATTTACGAATCAAAAATCGAAAAGCTTAATAAATGCTATTTTGAACCAAGATTTTTTAAATAATTTTATTTTTTTTTTACTGTACAAGCATTCCGATTTTCATAACTATGGATGTCCGTCACGTGTTTTAAGAGTAGCCTTCCCTGAAAAATCTGACCGTCTGCAATTCTTTTATTATTTATGAATTTCATCGTGTTTACTTCTCAACAGGCTTTGCAAATCAGCACTTCAGAATTTTAAACTTTAAAATTTAAAGTAATTTTTACTTTTTTAACTCCTATTTTCCTAAATATTTTTATTTTATGAATTTATTTTAGTGTGGGTCATACTTCAATTAAGTAAATATTTTGTTAGTAGATTTTTTTAAAACTTTTTTAAGTTTATTCTTTTTGTGAGAGTTATTTTGATAAAAACGTAAGGCTATAAAAATGAAGTAATTAAAATTTAATAAAATATTAGATAATTGCTGAAAATATTATGTTAATTTTTAAAAATTACTAGATAGTTAAAAACCAAAAACAAAGCGTTCACTTAGATTTCGTAAATTTATATCAATTTCTGGTTAATCATATTCAGCTGTCAACACCTTAGGCTGCCAATAATTCAATCAGTACGTCAGAAAAACAAGACTCCGCGGTTAAGAAATGCTTGTATACTGCGTAATATTTGTTTCAAATCAGATTAATTTAGATTTAAATTTGCTAATTTTACTCAAAAAAACTGTCACAAATACATATTTTATTTTTGGAAGATTTTTAAAATCGAGAATTAAATTTTGTTTACAAATGTGTCAAAATGGCCGATATTTATCGATTTTCTGAAAGCGACCAAAAATTTTAATCTTTATAATTTCTATTTGAAATACACCAGAATATTTTACTAACTGGAAATAGTAAATTTAATCATTTCGCTTTCAATTAAAGCTAAAAAGAAAGCTTCAAGAATGTTTTTTCATTTTGAAAAAATCATTTTAAACCTTAGGTATCGAAAGGTACCTACACTAATTGTATATCAATTATTAGTAGACATTTTAGCTCCGTTGTTATACATCGACAACTGTTTTATTAATACCGGCACGCAATGTGCGCTATTATATATACGTTTAGCCAATATGACAGCATTTGTCGTAAGAATCACTAAAAAACCCTTTGAGTTATTCAGCTAGAAAGAGAACAAGTGAAAATCGTTTTGTGTCAGCCTCATTATGTCTTTCTAAATGAGCAATGGTGAGAGGAAAAATCATACAGGTCTTCAGTAATGGTACCAACATTCATATTTTGGCTTTCTTCTTCAAAGCCTACTCAAGAAGCATCAAGAGATCGGTGAATAAGTTTATAAAAGAGGGAACACTAGAGAGGAAAACTGGATCAGGAGGTCACAGCAGGAAGAGGGATCATCATTTCAACTTAGAACTAAATACATTCTTATTGCTCAAATTAGACACCAATAGTGTTTTAAAAACCTAAGAAAATTCCACTAAAATATCTTTAATCATTTCTAAGATACAGTGGTTCAAAGCTTAATCTAAAAATTGTACAATTTTCCTGTTCCATTCGGTATAGGAATCTAAATGAAATAATAATAAAAACGAAAAGAATATTAATATACAACTCAGTATGTCTGAAGATTTTAATTTTTTTATATTTTTTATTGTTCAATATATATATATATATATATATATATATATATATATATATATATATAAAGTAAATATGTCACACATTTCAGATAGAGGATATCTGTAAAAGTACAATATGAATAAAGACAAAAGAAAAAACGTTTTTTAGCCGACGCATTTCGTCTTCCGATAGACTTGATCAAGGTAAATGAAAACATTTTATTTTATATACAAGAGCAAAAAATATCTTATATGTGTTTGCCAATGTAAGTATATGTAATAACAATTATAAGTAAATATATGTAATAATATATACATAAGTAAATATATTTGATATATATATATATATATATATATATATATATATATATATATATATATAAATATAAATATGATAAGTAAATATCAGTAATATTATATAAGTAAATATGTGCAATAACATATATCAGTAAAAATATATATATATATATATATATATATATATATATATACGTATAAGTAAATATAAGTAATAATATATGTACATAAATATAAGAATTAATAAATATATTAGTGAATAGATGTAATAATAAATATAAGTAAAGATATATATTAATATATATATATACATTTATAAAATATATGGATGGAAATATATGGATGGATATATATATATATATATATATATATATATATATATATATAAGAAATAAATGTAATAGTATACATATAAATATATATATATAAGTAAATCTAAGTAATAATATATATAAGCAAATATATGTATTAATATATGCATGTATTAATATATATATATATATATATATATATATATATATATATATATATATATATATATATACAGTGATGGTGGATAAATTGTCTTCTAAATTACTAAAAAAAACGGTGACATTTCATTTTAATAAATATATTTACCAAAATTACACAAAAATATCTTGATATACTAAATAGTAAATTTATTTAATAAAGTCGCCATTCGCTTCAACCACGACCTCCAGACAACTTCGAAATCTCCTGCAACTCTTCTGAACGTTTTCCTTGATTAAGTTGGTGAATGCCGCCATAATCATTGCCTTCCGTTCGTCTTTGGTGTTACAAAGAGTTTTGTTGGTCTTTCGCTCAACTGCTTACCACACTCAATCAATGGCTTTGCAGTCTGGAGGGTTAGGTGGCCAGATGTAAGTGGTGATGTGGTCGCAGAAATTGTCTGACAGCCATCATTGGGTTCATCTGCTTGTGTGGCATGGTGCAGATTCCTATTGCCAGACATAGATGTCACTAATATTTTAATAATAATAATAATAATAATAATCAGATTTATTATAGAATGATTAGAACCTGTAACAATTTTATGGGACTAAGCAATACACAGAGGCAAAACAATCAAAGCTAATCATCTTGATATCGTTATTAGAGATCGCAAAAAAAAAAGAAAAAAAGTTGCCACCTTATTTATATGGCAGTCCTTGCAGACTGCAATGTATCTTCGAAGATCTTCAAAAAGTTATAAAAATTATAGGGACCTTGAAATCGAAATCTCAAAAATGAGAACATCAACAATTCCTATCGTAATTGGAGCCCTCAGATTGGTTGGAAAAGATTCCAATAGACTCACTGAAGGGATTCCTAGTAGCTCATGTCTTGAAGAAAAACAAAAAATTCTTCTCATGAGTACAGCCCACACCTTACGAAGGACTTTATCTATGTACATTTTTTTTTAAATTGCTCAGCGGAAAATGGCATAATGCTATTTCTAACCTTAGGTCTTTGAGCGGGACCCGGAAAGAAATGAGTACACATCAGAAATCAAAAAATAAAATAAAATAATAATAATAATAATAATAATAATAATAATAACCGCCAGAAATCAAAGAAAAATAAAATAATAATAATAATAATAATAATATGGATTTAAAATGAAAATTGGGATAATATCTTTCTTATTTTAGAACAAGAATGTATTTATTATTATAAATTAATAATGAAAAAATACTTTTGTCTAAACCTATTTATAATACGCACCGCTACTATCACCTGTAATTTACAGCAAAAAAATAAAAAAATAAATGCGTATTATTTTAGAGAAATTACACTATATACAGATATCTATATGGCGTCAGTGTGAAACCGGCTTCACTGTGAGTGATCAGGACCTGTACGTGGCGGATTCGTGTGTCATTGGGTGACTCACTCCAGTACAAGACGCATGCCCAGTGACCATATATTATGTTTTTTTTATTTTTTTTTTACGGCATATCAACCTCAGTGGGTTATTTAATGCCGACAAAATTTTTATTGCTGCTAATATTTTTTTCCGAAAATCTATTTTTGGTAATATTTTTTAAATAATGTATTGCGGGTAATATTTAAAAATATGTATGGTAATGTTTTTTTTTTTTTTCAAAAATGTACTGCTAGTAATAAATTAAGTATTAAAACCTATTTTTATAGTATTTTAACCACTTGTGGAGGGTTAACTATTTGGTCCTAGTTGGGACCCTGACAGGTCCTACCCCCGCGGGTGCACCTGGGAACACCAGCAATTAAGAGGTGGTTCCACGCTCCCCAAAACCTCCTGATCAAATGCCTTACTGCCGAATGTAGTTTATCGTCATACCCAGGACAGCCATATATTATGTTAACCTCGTGAACTACGATAAAAAATATAAAAGAGATAGATATTAATAATGGCATATAATAATTTTTATGCAGTGGTTCCTTGAGACTATTTCAAGAGTGGCACAAGAGTAAAAAGACTGATCGCCTACGTCCTGAAAGGACATAGCATATAGAAAAGAAAGAATTCTACAAACCCTGTCCCTTTACTGGCATTTTTAACCACACCCTACCACCTATCACTATGAATGGATGTCCATTCAGGCAGGCCCCTTGCATTGAGAGACTATTGGACTTGATTTTTTAGTCATATCACTCCAAGCAACTAGTACGCAGCGGGTTACAGGGAGTGAAAAAGCAAGAAAAGACTGAATATAGGGAGGATTGAGGAAAGGGCAAAAGATGAACGGGATTCAAGAAGACGAAAGTACATAGATAGATAGATAGATAGATAGTAGGAGACTGAGATAGATAGATAGATAGATAGATAGATAGATAGATAGATAGATAGATAGATAGATAGATAGATAGGTTTCACATGAACAGTACGTATACAAATAAAAACGGAGATTTTTTTATCCCAAGAAAGGCGGGAATGCCACTAGTGCGCAGAGATTTACAGGGAGTGAAAGTGAAAGGAAAGACTGAATATAGGGAGGATTGAGAAAAAGACAAAAGATGAACGGGATTCAAGAAGAGAGAAGATGGCTGTTGACGTTGTATTTACAGTTTTGAAGATTGCAGTTATCAGGGAAGCAAATAAACGGAAGGAAATACCACAGGAGTAGCAATGGCGGTTTCATTTAGCTATTTCAATATTAAAAGGGTTTGAACTCGATGCCAATCTAGTAGCACGCTTTAATTCATGTTGTCGGGACAGCAAGGAAAATAGCTCATCAGAACACTTGCCATGAAAATATTTTTAGAAAAGACAGAGGGAAGCCGCTTCACGTCGGTGAGAAAGTGACTGAAGCCGAGATGCCAGGTCAAGATCGATTAAATTGCAGATCCTTTTTTTTTGTCAAGAGACTCGAGATGAATAGCAGGAACACCAAACCGGATATGGCAACAGGATTCAATGCACGGACGAATGGTAAATTTGTAAATGTGCGAGATGGATATTGATGAGAAAAATTTTGTGGCGCGATACAATGACCCAAATTTCCTTGCATTAATCCCAGACCTCAAGTGAAACTCCTACCTACGACCCATCCCTAAAGATGCTGGAAAAATGGTCGGTTCCCTGTACCGCTCCAGTAAGCACCTGACTCCTCATGCTGTCCTCTACCTTTACAACAGTCAGCCCAGGCCTAGAATGGATCACTGCTGTCACAGAAACTGCCCAGTCCTCACTTTCCAATCTTGATAGGGTCTAAAAGCGTATCCGTGTCCTTGTTTTTTTTTTTAAGCATTTCACCCCAAGCAAGGCGGGAAGCCACTAGGACGCAAGGGGTTAAAGAACATTTAGAGCAAGATCAGATAGGAGTGATAGAAGAAAGGATGAGGGTAGTGGCTAGATCAAGGCAACTGGAGATGTCGATTGACATTACATTTGAATAGCTGGAGATTATAGCTCACAGGGAAACAGGAGAAGGGAAGGGAGTTCCACAGGCGAGAGGTGCGAGACATGAAGCTATTGCAGTAGAAGAGACGGCTACATTTAGGAGTTTCGACAGTGAAGGGAGTGAGAGCGGGATGCCAGCCTCGTAGGGCGCTGGAACTCATGACGTCTGGGAACCAGCGAATGCAGCTCCTCGGAGCAATTTCCATGAAAGTATTTGTAGAACAGACAGAGGGAGGCGACGGCACGTCTGTGAGAAAGTGACTAAATTATTTTACGCCCTGAAACTCCTCTCTCACAGACGTGATGAGAAAAGTCTCTCACTGCTTTATCGCTACTTCCATGGAAAGTGCTCGGACGAGCTACATTCCTTGGTTCCGCAGGGTCTAATCTTCACGGCTAGGACCCGCCATGCCAATTACATTATAGCAGACCACCTACATTCCGTCCGTATTCCATCGGCGAGAAGGTAGTTCTACTCAAACAGCTTCTTCCGCTATCCACTGCCCCGTGGAAAAGACTCCCAAGTGGATATTTCCCGATCACTACAATTTTAACCTGTTCTAGGATTAACCGTTATCTTCTCCACCTATCTTGAGCAGCGTCCTTCCACGAGTGACTGCATTGTGGAACCGACTCCCAAGTGGATATTTCCCGAATCTCTACAAGTTTAACCTCTTCAAGTCTAGGATTAACCATTATCTTCTCCACCTATCTGTATAAAGTTTATACGATAAACTTTGCTTCTTACTCTGTGACGCTCTATCTCGAGTGACCGTCGGGCCTTGTACAGATTTTACGCCCTGAATCCCCTCTCTGACAGACGAGATGAGAAAAGTCTCTCACTGCTATCTCGCTAATTCAATGGAAAGTGCTCAGACGAATTGCATTCCTTGGTTTCGCCATTTCTAACCTTCAATGTTAAAGACCTGCCATTGATGAAAAATAAGTTTCAATCGAGCAGTTTCATTCCAGGTGGGCGTTGTGGGTGTTAAGCAAACACAAATGTGCCTGAGCGAGTGTCTGCTAGCCGCACTAGGAGACATGTATCCTCGGGTATGAGTGGCCAGCTATTATTATTATTATTTATGTGTGTATTAATGACATTTCTTAAATTCAGCCAACAACATTACTTTTCTTAACACGTTGACTACGAGAGGTCAATAAAAAAATCCAATTTCAAACGCTGACTGTACGATAAGCAACTTAGACAATAAAATCAGACATAACTTGGTTCTTGTCTACACCTTTGCCACATTTTTTCCCTTATATATATATATATATATATATATATATATATATATATATATATAAAAATATTATATATATTATATAATATATAATATATAAAATAGAATATATAATATATATAATATATATATATATTATATATTAATACTATATATATATATTATATGTATAATATATATAATATATATTATATATATATTATTATAGTATATTATATAATGTAATGTAATATATATATAATATATTATATATATAATATATATTTATATATATATATATTATATATTAATATATATTCTAACCACTCATACACGCGTCCATAATACATACATGCGTATATATATATATATATATATATATATATATATATATATGATTAATATTAAGTGCATCATTTTATAAAAAGCAAAATATTCCAAAGCAGAAAAATTTAAATAAGATAAAAAGAAAAGCCCAATCCTAAAGAACAAAAATATATATATATATATATATGCTATATATTGAATATTATCCAAATATTAATGACATTTCTTAAATTCAGCCAACAACCTTACTTTGTTTAACACATTGACTGCGAGAGGTCGATACAAAAATCCAATTTCAAACGCTGACTATACGATAACCAACTTAGACAATAAAATCAGAGAAAACTTGGTTCTTGTCTTCACCTCAGGCACATTTTCCCCGGATTACAGCATCTTTATTTTCTCATTTATCTATTAATATTGATACATATTCTTATTACTGTATTATTATTATTACGCATTCTTATACTATATTATATATATATATATATATATATATATATATATATATATATATATATATATATATATAATATATAAAATATAAAAATATAATATATAATATATATATATATATATATTAATACTATATATATTATATATAATATATATTATATATATATTATTATAATATATTATATAATGTAATGTAATATATATATAATATATTATATATATATATATATCTTATATATATAATATATATTATATATATTATATATTCTAACCACTCGTCCATAATACATACATAATACATACATACATATATATATATATATATATATATATATATATATATATATATATATATATATATATATATAAATATTAAGCATCATTTTATAAAAAAAACAAAATATTCAAGGCAGAAAAAATATTTACATATAGAAAGCTCAATCCTAAAGAACAAAAATAATTATAAATAAGATAAAAGAAAAAGAGTCTCTCTCTCTTTTCTCTCTCTCTCTCTATATATATATATATATATATATATATATATATATATATATATATATATATATATATATATATATGTTGCCATGAATATTATCCAAATATTAATCTACGCCAGGTTTTTTCCAATATCATCTTTCCTAACAGAATTATTACTCTCCCAAGCTAAAGTACACAACAGCTATATCATGAAATCAAAAGAAAATGGTTGAAACTATCAACACAACAATAAAAGAGACAATATGAATACAATAACGTTTTCTAAATTCTTCTAATTACTAAGGACATTTTGTTTGTTGTTAATAGTTACTTTGTTTTCAATAAATTCATTTCATTTTTGGCATGACACTATCACCTCTGGGTGTTGACTTCAATGTCCACTTTTATATTTTAAAAATTCGAAGTATTAATCGATTTCACCCCAAACAAGGCAGTACGGCCACTAAAAAGTGAAGGGTTACAGGATGTGGAGGAATTACGAACAGAAACATTAGTAATGAGTGGAAAGAGAAAAGAACCATCAGGAGGACAGTAGATAGCGACTGACATTGCATTTTAACTAAATATTAAAGTTGGCTGGAAAATATGGAGCTAGAAGAGAGTTCCACAGACAAGAGGTGTGAGAAAAGAAACTGTCAGTATAGAAGTTACGGTGACATCCAGCGAACTCAACTGTAAATTCATGACATCTCGCCGCCTGTCTAGTATTGCGCTTAAATTCATCAAGTCTAGGGTACCACAGCTCATCCGAACAATTACCATGAAAGTATTTATAGAAAAGGCACAGAGAAACAACTTTACAGCGGTGGTCAAGTGACTGAAGCCGAGTTGTCGGATCAGAACCATTAATATTGCTGATTCTTTTTTCGATCTTATCAAGGGGCTCAAGGTAAATAACAGGGGCACCGGACCATATATGGCAGCAATATTCTAAGCATGGGCTAATGGTAGACATATATATATGCAAAATAGATTCTGGAGAGAAAAATTGTCTCGACCGGCACATTGAAACGAACTTCTTAGCAATGGATCTAATATAGTCTTTCCATTTCATGCACAACAGAGAACGTTATCCCGAGGAGGTGCAACGAATCATTTTCCTGGATGTCAGCATCTGCAATGCCGATAGAAGACAGAGAGAGAGAGATCTCTCAGATGATTAATGGAGAGATGTTTAGTTTTGGATGTGTTAAAATTGACAAGCCATCTTTTGCGCAAATTCACGGCGGTTTTGAGGTTGTTTTGGACATCTGCTGCCATTTTGACCTTGTTTGACTGATCAGCCTTACTATTGAGGCAGAAGTAAATGGTAGTGTCGTCAGCGTTGATGCCAACTTGAGAGCTTATGTCATTGGGAAGGTCGTTAATGAAGATTAAAAAAAGCGTAGGACCGAGGATGGAACCTGGGGGACACCCGCATTAGTACGAAAGAATGTAGATGAATGGATGTTCAGAACAACTTTCATTTTATGATTTCATAGGAATGACTGGATCAACGTGAAAATGTGCCGGCAAATACCATAGACTCGG